TATGGTATGAGGTATGGATCTTGTTTCATTTTTCTGCAAATGGATAACCAATTTTGCAAGCATCATTTATTAAAGAGACTATCTCTTCCTCATTTAATGGATTTTGGCCCTTTGTCTAAAATCAGCTGACCATAGGTCGATGGATCTATTTCTGGGTTCTCAACTCCATAATGTTTTCAGTGGCTGATTTTTCATTCTTGTCTGATTCAAGGAATTTTTTAATTTCCTTTTTTATTTCTTCTATTACCCAGTCATTTTTCAAGGATGGTGTTACTCAGTTTCCATGTGTATGCTTTTTTTCTGTTGATCTTCCTATATTGTTGATTTCTAACTTTATAGCATTGTGCTCTTAGAAGATGCTTTGCAGTATTTCAATGTTTTTAAATTTATTGAGGCTTGCTTTGTAGCCCAACATGTGGTCTATCCTGGAGAATGTTCCATGTGCACTGGAAAACAATGTATATTGTGCTGTTTTTGGGTGAAGTGCTCTGTAGATGTTTATATGGTTAAAGTCTCCTACTATTATTGTGAAGTCATCTATTTGTCTTTTCAATTCTGTTAAAGTCTCGTTTATGTATTTTGAGGCTCTTTCATTGGATGGGTAGATATTTATTATGGTTTTGTCATCTTGTTCAATCAATTCTTTAATCATTATATAATGTCCTTCCTTGTCTCTTATGGTGGTGTTTGTCTTAAAGCAATTTTATCAGAAATTGGTATTGCCACTTTTGCTCTTTTTTGATTGCCATTTACTTGATATATCTTTTTTCCAACTTTGATTTTTAGTCTATTTTTATCTTTGTAAGGTGTATCTCTTATAGACAGCATATTAATAGGTTATGTTTTCTTGCCCAGTCTGTAAATCTCCATCTTTTGAGTAGTGCATTTAATCCATTTAGATTCAGTGTAATTATTAATAAGTATGAATTTGTTGCTGTCATTTTGTAATGTGTTTTTTTGTGGTGTTGCTGACTTCTTTGTTCCATGTAATTTTCTGTGCTGAGCTCATTTTGTTTATGAATCACTTTCTTTTTTGCTATTGTTTTAGTATTTCCTAAATATTTGTGTTTGTCCTTTTTTACTTTGATGCAAAGGTTTGTTATTTTTCTTTGAGGTTACCCTGTGAATTATAATTTTCTTCCCAAGTTTAGAACAGGCTGTTCTATCTTGCAATTGTCTTGACTTCCTCACCATATAGAAATTCTGTAGCTACACTATTTATTCCCTCTTTTTAATTTGTTTGTTATTGTTGTTATGTGCCGTTGAGTCGGACCCTCATAGCAACCCCTCCTTGGGTTTCCGAGGCAGTATCACTACGGAAGTAGATTGCCCCATCTTTAATTTGTAGTTGTCTTTATTTACCAATTGATGTCTCTGGTTCCATTTACAGTCTTGTAAGCTTATTTTACTTTGGATACTTCTGTAACTGGGTTGGTTTCTGGCTTACATAATCACGTGTGTTAATGGTTTGTTGTTGATTGCTGTTGTTGGTTCTCTGTCCAAAGGACTCCCTTTAACATCTCTTGTAATGTTGGTCCGGTTTTAACAAATTCCCTTAATTTCTGTTTATCTAGAAATGTCCTAATTTCACCATCATATTTGAGGGACAATTTTTTAAATTAATTAATTATTTATTTTTTGCAGTGTTCTCTCCTTGAGGGACACTTTTTTTTTTTCTTTTTTTTTTAATTGTGATTCAGGTGAGAATTTACAGAGCAAATTCACTTTCCATACAGCAGTTCACGTACACTTTGTCTCATGACATTGACTACAATTACCACAATGCAACAGCTCCCCTCCCACTTCCTCCTGATAGTTAACCTATTCCCTGTGTCCATCCTTCCTTGCACTCCTGCCCCCTGAGCTGTCTCCCTGTGCATAAACAGCCCTTCTTTCTCCCATGCTTGTTCTCTCCAAAGAGTGTATCTACCTAATGTAAATGTTCAACTCATATGCCTGTCTTTTTTTTGGCTGGAAGCCCCAGGTGTGGGTTCAATTCCAGACCTGAAGGGCAGCTAGGAGCCATAGTTCAGTGGTTCCACCAGGCTTTATTAGATCAGCAAACCTGGTCCTTGAGGGACACATTTGCTTGTTCTATAATTCTTGGAAATTTTTTCTTTCAGAGTTTTATATATAGCATCCCATTGCCTTCTTACCTGCATGGTTTCTGCTGAGAAATTATAGCTTAGTCTTACTGGTTGCCCTTTATAGGTGACATTTCTTTTTTCCTGAGCTATTTACAAAATTCTTTCCTTGTCTTTGGTTTTGGTGAGTTTGATTATGATATATTTTGGTGATTTTTCTTTTGGGATCTATCCTGTTTGGGGTTTATTGAATTTGAATGGATATCTTCTTATCTTTTATCATGTTAGGGAAATTCTCTTCTAACAAATCTTTGACAATTTTCTCTGTGGTTTTATTTGTCTCTTTCTGTTCTGGAATGCCTATTACATGTAAGTTATTCTTCTTGATGGTATCTCTCATGAATCTTAGGCTTTCTTCATTTTGTTTTGATCTTTTTTCTGATTGATCCCTTAACAAAGTATTATTGAGGTATTTGTATTCAGTCTTACTAATTCTGTCTTCCATGGATTTAATTCTATTCTTTTGTCTGTTCATTGTGTTGTGTATTTCTGAAATTTTAGTATTCTTCTGGATTTCTATTTGTAGATTTTTTATAATTTTAATTTTTTATTTTGTCATTTTGTTCTTGTATTGTTTTCCTAAATTGTACTAGAGTTTTGTTTGTGTTTTCCTTAATTTTGTCAGTGTTTTCCTTGATCTGTCTCTCAATCCATTGAAGGTACCTAAGTAGAATTCTTTTGAGTTCCCTATCAGGGAGTTCCAGTGCAGTTTCTTCCTCAGGGATATTTTCTGGGTCTGTATCCTGGTCTCTTGTTTCTACTACTTTATCTTGCTTCTTTGTGTGGACTATAATGATCTGTTGTCTCCAAAACATTATGTTTTATATTTATATTTAATTGGTGATTTATTTATATTTAATTGATGTTGTTGTATTTTATTTAATTGGTAATTTATGTTGGTGTGATATGCCCCAGGTATTTTTTCTTTGTTTTGTTTTGATATATCTGGATAAACATGTACTGTACTTCTCTATTTGCTAGTTGGCAGCACTTAGGCACTCACCACCTGTCTCTTTGTGGGTATGATAGAGAGTAAGAGTGTGTGCACAGATCTCTGTTAGCTGTTGTGAAGAGCAGTTAAGGGTGAGTCAGGCTGGTATTGGCTGTCATCTATGGTTGGTCAGTGCAGAAGGAAGTGGTGGCCCTCACTCAGTGGGTTAGGCTGCAGGAGGTGCAGGTATGATTGGGTTATACAGGCATGTTTGCTGTCTCCCACTCAGTTAGACCAAAAAAAAATCAGAAAAAACACCAAAAAAATAAAAACAAGAGGACAAAAAACACAAACTGAATAAATAAACAGAAAAATCACCAAAAAAAGAAAGAAAGGCAAGGCAATAAATGAGATGAAATATTTAAAGAAATACTTTAAAAAGACTAAATAAATAAATTGCACAATATCTGGGGAGGGAGGAATAAGAGAAAAGCGCAAGAGAGAGAAAGGAAAAAAAAAAACCCACTTAGGACCTGAGCAGGGAAAAAGAAAAAGAAAATAAATAAAAGGGAAGAAAAAAAAGAATAATTGAAAAACAAACAAAAACAAAACTGAGGGGGATGCAGGTTAGGGCACTCAGGCTTCATCAGGGCACAGACTGGGATGGAATTCTTGCTGGTACCAGAAGGTGGTTGGAGGTGGCGGATGGCCACACCTTGGTTCACCAAGAGGGAGGGCGTGGGGTATAAGAGTAATAAGGGAAATATTGCACCTTTCCAGTCATCAGCTTCTGGTACTGTTGCCTGTGTTGTCTTCGGCAAGCAGAGCCTATTTCTAGGTCACTAGTATAAGAACGCCACTTGGAATTATTCAAAATGCCCACGCTACTTGCAAATATTCAAAATGGCTGTACCCTCAGGACAATGGAAAGTTCACAGCTCAGTTTGTCTCCTTATTTGCTGTTTTCCTTTCTAGTCATCAGGAACTAATGGAATTGTCTGTGCAGCCCTTGGTGAGCAGGACTGATTCTTAGGGTACTGGCCAGATTCAAACTGGCTGTGCCATCAGGATAGCTGACAATCTTCAGCTCCTTTGCCTCCTTATTCACTGTTTTCGTTCAGGTTCTTTTACTGGTTGGTATTTAATCCACGTTTTTATCCTTCCCTTCAAACTCAGGGCTCCAGGATTATCTTCTGTATATTTGTCAATTGGTTTCTCTCTGTCTCTCTTTTTTTTTTATTGAAAAGAATCTGTGTAGCTTGTTTGCCTATTCTGCCATCTTTCCAGGGCTGCTATTTTAGATAAAATAGGCAATGTCAAGGCCTCTCTAATGAGGTAACTTTTTATTTCCCCCTAATGAGATAACTTTTGAGGATAGACCTGAAAGAAGTGAGGGAATAAGCCACAGATACTTAGAGGAAGTGTTGTAGGCAAAAGGCACATCAACCGAAAAACCTGAGACAGGAGCGTGAATGACTTAATTGAGGAATAATGAGGAGGCTGGGAGCTCTGGTAGCATAGTGGCTAAAGCACTTGACTGCTAACCAGAAGGCTGGCAGTTCAAACCCACCAGCCACTCCTCGGAAGGAAGGTTGGGCAATCCTACTTCCGTAGTGATACTGCCTCGGAAACCCAAGGAGGGGTCACTATGAGTCGGGGCCGACTCGACGGCACATAACAACAACAACAAGGAGGCTAGTGGGGCTGGATTGGGTGGATTGGGGTAAATTGATCTGTGTTTTAAAAGGATCACTCTGGCTATTGTATGGCTGAATGAACGAGTGAGTAAATAAATTAGTGTGGATTGAGAAACCAGTTTTTGCTGAGTAGAGCTCAATTGTCCTTGAGGGCATGAACTCTGGTTTTGATGGCCAGTGGGTATCCTGACCTAGAATTTAACATCAATGTGCTGCTCTCTCTTCCAGGCTTAGCAGCTTGGGTGTTCTGGACTACTACCTGATGGATGCTGCCTCCTTGCTGCCCGTCCTGGCCCTTGGCTTGCAGCCTGGGGACACTGTGCTTGACCTGTGTGCAGCCCCCGGGGGAAAGACATTAGCATTGCTTCAGACTGGCTGTTGCCGTAAGTCGGGGTGCTAGTATCAGGGGCACACTGAATGGGCTCTCTGATCCCAAGGTCAGGGAGGAGGACAGTACTTGGTTGCTAAGCTGGTGTATTTTTTCTCAATTTGTAATTACCCCTTCCCTTTCTCTGTCAGTTGACCAAGAGATATTGTTGGGCAAGGTCTCTGAAGGGGATGAAAGCAGGGCCATGATCAATCTATGACACCTTCACCCCTCTACCTTTACTTTCTTTGTCTCCAAAATTAAGTTCCTTTTTCTTAAAAACAAACCAAACCTGTTGCTATCAAGTGAATTCTGAATCATGGTGACCCTATAGGATGGAGTAGAACTGCCCCATAAGATTTCCAAAGCTATAAATCTTTATGGAAGCAGACTGTCAAATCTTTCTCCTCTAGAGCAGCTAGTAGATTCGAACTGCTGATCTTTCAGTTGGCAGCTGAGTGCTTTAACCACTGCACTGCCAGGGCTCCTTTCTATTTCCTTAGTGCCAATTCAAATGAGAAGATCTGGTTACAGCCACCCTTCATAGCTTTTATATGTAACCCTTTCCCAGGATTTGTTTGCTTTCACCATACCCTACTACTCTGTGTTGCCCGAATAAGCCTCCACCTTTGTTCATTTTGTGTTCACTCTGTAGACTGTCACCTCCAGAATGTCCCCACCTTACCTCGAGCTCTGTTTGTCGAGTAGTTTTTGGCTATCAAATGCCAAAAACTCATAGGCATTGGAGCTCAAGTGCGCCACCTTCTGGAAGTCTTCCCTCATAACCTGTGCTGGCTATGTCAGAAGTGATGCTTTCATCAGTTTGTGCTCCCACATCATAGGCATCATTCTTGTAGCTGTTAGCACATGAGCTTTGCATTAGAGCTTTACTGGGGATGCATCTCCCTCTTGGAGATAGTGAATTCCTTGGGGACAGGCCCAAGTCTTATTCATCTCCATAGTGTAGCCCAGCATGGGCCTCATGTACTTAGTGCTTACTTCAGTCTTCCACTGGTTTACATCTTGCCTTAAAATAGGCAGTATATTTTCTTTGAGAACCTGAGAGATATCCACAAGGGAGTTTTCACATCCACCCAGGAACTCATCCAGACTTCTCTTTGCCATGTGCCTGAGTCTTTCTGCTGGCCTTTTTTCTCCAATTTTAGTCATCCTGTTTGTACAGTTTAGATTAGTCTGCAGCGTCATAGTAGGTCCCCTGGGTAATTCACATTTGGTCTTAGCCTTCTGGAACTTCAGAGAGAGGAGAGGAAAAATGTTAATAAGGAGCTTAATAAGGAGCTCTGGTAGCATAGTGGCTAAGGCACTTGACTGCTAACCAGAAGGCTCGCGGTTCAAACCCACCAGCCACTCCTCGGAAGGAAGGTTGGGCAATCCTACTTCCGTAGTGATACTGCCTCGGAAACCCAAGGAGGGGTCGCTATGAGTCGGGGCCGACTCGATGGCACATAACAACAACAACAACATCCTTAGAATTATGTCATAGTCCAAGATGATTCCTGGAACTCCAGCCATCACATTCAAATTCTAGGCTAGAGGGAAGTATTGGGCAAAAGAGGCACATCTCCTGATTGTATTAGCTCCTTTTAAATATCTTCCCAGAAATCCTGCAGAATACTTCTGCCTATGACTCATTGATCAGAACTTAATCATATAGTCATACCCAGCTGTAAAATCAGGGTAGGAAATAATAGTTTTTTGGGGGGTACATTGCCTCCTCCCAATAAAATCAGGAGTAAGAGGTGAATCAGTTTTGGGTAAATAACCAAAGATGTCTATCAAAGATGAAGAGAGTTACATGTGTCAAGAAAAGGGGGAGATAGTTTATTTCCTTAGAAATAAATAGTCTCAGCTCTGGTCCCTGTAGGCCTTTGTAACCCCTATTCTAGAGTGTCTAGTACTCCCCTCCACCCTGCCCCTGCCCCTGAGATTGACCTTGATTGACTATACCTGGGGATCAGTCTGACTCTCCATCAGTGCTTTTGTTTGTGGACTGTATTTTTGGGCCATGGCTTCTGAAATTTCCTTATTTCCACAGGCAATCTTGCTGCCAATGATCTCTCCACTTCCCGAACAGGCAGACTACAGAAGGTCCTTCACAGCTATGTGCCTGAAGATATCAGAGATGGAAATCGAGTTCGAGTTACCTCTTGGGATGGCAGGAAGTGGGGAGAACTGGAGGGGGACACGTATGACCGGGTGAGTAATTCTTGACCTAAGACACCCAGCCAGCAAACCTTGCCTCTGCATCTTGGCCCCAGGCCCTGACGGATGAGATTCAGTCTCTGTGTTTGAGCATGTAGGTCTCTTTCTGGACCTCGTCAGCTCTTCACGTGTGATAAAGAGAAAACAACCATCTGCAGATTTGTCAGTCACCTTAGATGAGTGATTGCTATCTTCATTAGAGACAACTAGGAACAAAAAGTTTGAACCTGACTGTGATGATTAAGTTTGTTGTCAACTTGGCTGGGCCATGATTCTCAGTGGTTTGGCAGTTATGTAATGATGTAGTTTGGCAGCTATGTAATGATATAATCACTCTCCATCTCTCCATGATGTGATCTGATGTGATCAGTTGTAAGGGAAGTTTCCTCAGGGGCATGGTCTGCACTATATATGTATGTGTGTGTATATATATATATATATATATATATATATACACACACACACACACACACATATATATATTATACTCTCCAGTTCTTGGGATATGTCAACCCCTGTAGCTTTGTGAGTCAGGAGAAGCTTCCATCCTGATGCTTGAGACGTGGACTCTACAACAACATGAGCCATTTCTTTGAGATAAATCTCTCTCCCTACACATTTCACTAGTTTTGCTTCTCTAGAGAATCCAGCCTAAGGAACTGATCCAGTAGAAAAGAAAAGTTATTAGGTTTATTTTATTTCCCTAGTATTTGGTAGGAGCTCTGGTAGCACAGTGCCTAAGGCACTTGACTGCTAACCAGAAGGCTGGCGGTTCAAACCCACCAGCCACTCCTTGGAAGGAAGGTTGCACAATCTACTTGCCTAGTGATACTGCCTCGGAAACCCAAGGAGGGGTCGCTATGAGTCGGGGCTGACTTGATGGCACATAATAACAACAACAACAACAGTTATTTGGTTGCTCAGAGACCCTCATGAAGATAAATATGAATAAGCTCAGTTTATTTACTTTTGAATATTAATACAGGATATGGTGCAAAAGTTAGAAGGCATAAAAGGGTATCCAGTGAAAAATAAGTTTTCTGTTGCTTACAGTTACAGGGGTAACTGTCCCTACCCATCAACTTCCCCTCTTTACAGATCTTTGTATTTTATTTGTATCCTTTACAGATAATGCTTCTGTGTCCTTTGAGATACTATTCTTTGTATATACAAATATAAATATATGTGTATTTTTTAAAAATAGGAATAGTAGTATATTGTATATATTCTTCTGAACTTTGTATCTTTTTAAATATCATAATGTGTCCTGGGGTTCAATCTGTTTAATACCTGTAGAACTGCTTCATTCTCTTTAATAGCTCCAGATTATTCCATTATATGGATGGGCCATATAATAAAGCAATGATTATCCTTGCACTCATGTAATTTCCCACAAGTTCAAGTATGTTTTTGGAACAAAGTCCTTGAAGTATAATTGCTGGATAAAAGTTCATGTGCATTTAATATTTTAATAGAGATTTCTAAGTCATTTTCTGAGAAGGCTAAGCCAGTTTCACTCCTGTTGATAATGAATAAAGGAGCTCTGGTGGTGTAGTGGGTAAGGCATTTGGCTGCTAACTAGAAGGTCAGTAGTTCAAACCCACCAGCTACTCCACAGGAGGAAGATGAGGTGATCTACTTCCGTAAGGATTTACAACCTTGGAAACCCAGTAGGGGTCGCTATGAGTCAGATGGTGGTGGGTTTGTTTTTTTTGGTTTGGTTTTGGTAATGAATAAGAGCATAATTTTCCTATATCCTGCCAACACTGCTGTTGTCAAATTTTTCAGTCTTCACCAAACTGATAGGATCAGCCCCTTATGCGTAAGAGCTCTACCTGCTCAGTTTTGGGTGGCAGCCCCATCCTCTTGGTCAACTTGAAAGGCAGCCTATACTCTGGAACCAAGTTGGTGGAGTTGATTGAAACCTAGGAGGCCATGGCTCTACCTTTTGAAACCTTGCAGGCTGTGGCTCTACTCTTTGATCTCTGATTAGCCATAAGGATGGTCCTTTTCTTTTTTGGCAGGGCAATAGATATAGTTCCTGTAGCCTGTTTCCTGCTTACAGAATTCCAAGAGTCAGAGAGCTTTCTTTCCTTACATTCTGTCTCTGTCCCCTTCAGTTTAAGCTGATGGGTTTTCTGCTGTGGCAGTTGGTTAGATTTGTCAGTCATAGGCTTAATCTCTTTAACAAAAGCCACATCCTTGATGAAAATTCTAGGACACATGTCCTGAGTTTGTACAACAGAATCTCTAAATCTTTTAAGTTTTGTTTTCATTATATATAGTTCATTTAAAGTCCATCTCTTTCCTCATATTTTCTATAACTGTCAAGGAGAAATCATACAGCTCCTTTAAGACTTTGCTCAGAAATCTCCTCAGCCAAATATCCAAGTTCATCACTTAAAGTTCTATCTTCCATCAAACGTTTGAATATAATTCAGACAAGTTCTTTGCCCCTGCGTAAAAAGCATCACCCTTCCTCCATTCTTCAATCACATGTTCATAATTTTCTTTTAAAGCCTTGCCAGAAGCACATATAATGTCCACATGCCTAGCAACATTGTGCTGATGGTGCCACATGTATTCTGTAAGACATAGAGATGTTCTCTATGGCTCTTCTCATTTCCTTCTGAGCCATCCCCTGAGAATTGCCTTTGGTGTCTATAATCATACCAATAGTCCCTTCAAGGCAAGCTAGGCTTTTATTATTAAGCACTTTAAAACTCTTCCAACCTTGACCCATTACCTATTTCCAAAACCACTCCCACCTTTTAGATATTTATTAGAATAGCATACCACACCCGGTACCAAATTCTGTCTTAGTTATTTAATGCTGCTATGACAGAAATACCACTAGTGGGTGGCTTTAACTGACAGAAATTTATCTTTTCACAGTTAGGATGCTAAAATTTCGAATTCAGAGTGCCGGCTCTAGGAGAAGACTTTCTCTCTGAGCTCTGGAGGAAGGTCCTTGTCTCTTTCTAGTTTCTTTGTTCCCTGGGGTGAAATCTGTTTTCACCTGTTTCTACTTGGTTGCTTAATCTGTTTTTATATCTCAGAAGAAATTGATTTAAGACACACCTACACTGATACCACCTCATTTATATAACAAAGAAAGCCCATCCCCAAGTGGGATTCCAACCACAGGTATAGAGGTTAGGATTTACAACACATCCTTTTTGGGGAAACAATTCAATCCTAAACACTGACTTTAAGCAAGCTACTTGGCCTCACTGAACATCAGTCTCTTCATCTGTGAAACAGAGAATACTTACCACATAGGATTATTGGGAGGATTCAATAAGAAAAACCAGGAAAGTGTATAACACAGTACCTGGCAGTGAAGATTAGGCAGGTGATATTGTTGTTCTTCTTGTTATGTGCCACTGAGCCAGTTCTGACACACAGTGACCCTGTGTACAACAGAACAAAACACTGCCCAGTCCTGTGCCATCCTCACAGTTGTTGCTGTGCTTGAACCCACTATTGCAGCCACTGTCTGTTCATCTCATTGAGGGTCGTCTTCTTTTTCGGTGACACTCTACTTTACTGAAGGACCTCTGGTGGCGTAGTGCCTAAAGCATTTGACTGCTAAGCAGAAAGTTGGCAGTTCAAACCCATCAGCCACTCTGTTGAAGGGAAACTGGGTCATCTCCTTCCTTAAAGATTTATTGCCTTAGAAACCCAAAGGAAGTCTCTATGAGTTGGAATCAACTCGATGGCAGTGAGTTTGGTTTTTGGTTTTCTACTTTACCATGCATGACATTCTTCAGGGAATGGAGAATGTGCATAGGGACCTCCATCTGGCAGGGTCCATGTGTATATTTGCTGTTTATATTGTTAAAAAAAGGTATTTGCAATGAAAAAGTTGTTAGTCTTGTAAAATTTCATCGTATGATCTCTGGTGGCATTTTTGTCACCAAGGCCATATATTGTTATTAAGGCCATTAATAATAATAATAATAATAATAAATATATATATATATATATAGGAGCTGTGGTAGCATAGTGGCTAAGGCACTTGACTGCTAACCAGAAGGCTGGAGGTTCAAACCCACTAGCCACTCCTCGGAAGGAAGGTTGGGCAATCCTACTTCCGTAGTGATACTGCCTCGGAAACCCAAGGAGGGGTCGCTATGAGTCAGGTCTGACTTGACGGCACATAACAACAACAACAACATATATATATACACACACACACACACACACACATATATCTATATCTATATCTATATCTATCTATATATCTATATATATATCTCCTCTACGCTTCTTCTTTGTTTCCAACTTTTACATTTTAGTCACCAATAATTACGAATGCATCTTGATTGCATGTTTGATCAATTTCAGACTGCAGAAGTTGGTGAATGTTTTGGTTATTTCGTGCCACTTTAACAGAAATACTACAAATGGATAGCTTTAACAAATAGGAGTTTATTCTCTTACAATTTAAGAGGCTAGAAGAAGTCAAAGTCCCAGCTTAGGGGTTGGGTGAAAGCCCTTTGACCTTTGACTTCAGCTCTGCCTCTTGCTCCCAGCCCACTGGAGCTAGAGACGTCTCTTCACTCAGGCAGCTGCTGGCTTTTGCTCCCAACCCACTGGAGCTAGAGGTGTCTCTTCACTCAGGCAGCTGCTGGCTGCTTAGGCTAACAAGCCCAAGATCGATAAATAAAATGGCACAGTCCTAATATTACCACACAACATGGCAGACTGCTAGTTCAAGTCCAGTGACAGTCCCAAGATTGGCAGGAAACTTGGCAGGCTGCTAAATGAAGACTCGGCTACATGCAGGGTCCAAACACGCCAAAAAGCTGCAGACCGTTCCCAAAGCTTGTTATATACTGGAAGGAGACCACCTCCCTAAAGCAGCTACTCAGCTGCTCTGGTAGATTCTACCATGAGTTGATTGCCAGTCTCATAATGGGCCATAACTACATCCAGCTGCTCAGCCACTCAAAAACCAGGCCCAGCCAAGTTGACACATAACCTTAACT